CAATGCAAAATCCAGGGGGTGTTTTCCCCACCTTTGGCGCTTGGAATTGGTTGGCCTTCAACCCCTTTGGGGGGGGGAAATTCTGGGAGTTGAAGTCCACACATCTTCAAGTTGCCAAGGTTGAGAAACACTGATCTAGGGGAAATGGTTATCACTGTAACTTTAGGAAGTTCAACTGACCACTGTCCTCCCCATGTATTAAATATATCTCTCAACCTCTCTTCTTTTGTTCCACCACAGATAAAATGCAAGATAACAGCTTCTCGGAAATTGCAACTCAAGGTGATGTGGGAAAAGTGGTCTTCTGGGTATTGGAACAGTTAGAAAAGCACACAGGAACTAAACATCTGTGAGGGCACATCTGGCAAGTTTCTAGAAGACTGGAAGGAGAAAGGTAGCATATAGACCCTGGTGGAAAAGCGGGACAGTAGATCAGATTCCAAGAGATGAGAAAACACACACACACACACACACTAGATGCAAATACTTGGTAGAAAGGCACATTTGACAAAATGGACTTGCCACACCTGAGTGCCCTCCAGATGTGTGAAATTCAACTCCCAGAATTCTTAGCTTGGCATGACCACCGTTGATCATTCTAGGAGTCAGCCCATACTTCTGGAGACTGCCTGGGCAGGGAAAACCTAGCTTAAGCCATGGTATATTCGTCAGGTTGAAGGAATGCAAGCAAGATATAAGTCCAGCTCATTGACCTGAACGACTGTCTTTTCACCCAGTCACTGATGCTTCAGATGGCTAAGAAGGAAATGGAAAAGGAAGAAGAAGAGCGGGCCCAGGAGAAGGATCGATTTCTCTCGGAGCACTGCAACCCCTTAGAACTGGCAGGACTCGGCCACGCAGAATTGCAGGTCAGCATAGGGTAGGGGAGAATGATTGAAGGAGAGAGGAGGCTGGCCAAGTTGGAGAAGATTCACTTCTTGGCTTTGGTGAGGTCAGCCTTCCCCAAACTGGTGCTCTCCAGATGTGTTGGACTTCCCATGAAAAGTCTGTAGTTTGAGGAAAGATGAAGACAGATGCCAGATGAAAGGAAAACTCTAAAGTGTGTCTTTGATCCTCAGGGTAAACCGTCCTGGACGTTGGCCTAGGTTAGGGAAGGTGGCAAGTTCTTTGAGGGCAGCACTGTGCATTTGCTATACAACTTGCTTTGGACCAGCAGCTCTCAAGCAAGAGTGGACATTCCATCACCTGCAAAACAATCAAAATTCCATATACTTTGAGAGACAACATTACTTTAGAAGAACCCACCCAGTTACAATTCTGTTGTATGCTTTTGTTCAAAATTAGCCTTCTTCAACCTGGTGCCCTCCAGGTACTTGGAGATGGGATTTGTAAGACAACACATCTGGAAGGGGAAGACTATTCTAAGAGATGTCCTAGCTTTGAGAAAAATATATAATTGCGTGTATTAACGGATTCTAAATCTTCAGCCTATCTGCAAAAGTGTTTTGAAATTATTGTCGTCTTCTTTCTCCAGCTGAACCATTCTGATTCAAGTGGTTATTTTCTTAAAAAAATAGTTGTGTGGCTCATCCCTTAGTAGTCTTGCAAATGCACTTTGCACTTGTTCAGGAATACCTGTTCTTTATTAGCCTTGAATCTGATCTTTGATTTGCCTTTTAAATTATACTATCTTATTTGCTATAGGAGCTATGTCGGCAGCTCCATGTACAAATTGACAAAGTTGATGAGGAGCGTTATGACACGGAGGCCCGGGTCAATAAGAACATCAATGAGGTGAGCTTCTGCACATGGGGCTTGGGTGGGAGCTGGGCTACAATTGCCTTTTACTCTCAAGGGCAGCAGATCCTGTTCATATAAGATAGAAACGTGCCGAGGTTGGGAATGTGAATCCTGTTCATAGAACAGAAAGGGAAAGAGAACTAAGTGTATTTCAGATGAAGGATTTAGTCAGTGCCATTTGGTATTTTAATTACAGTAATAGGGAAATGCAAAACACAGCCTTGTCTCTGTCTCCCAGCTTAAAAAGAATCACAGAGGGCTGTTGAGTAAATCAAACCAGGAAAAGTTGGAATGTACTGTATGCTACTCTGATGTCCTTGCAGGAAGGGTGGATTTTAAAAACAACCACAACACACCCAACACACTATGTCTGCAGAGTGCAGAAAAGGAGTAAGAAATAATAAGCAAAAGAAACATGTGGCATGAGATAAGAACAATGAAAGGGAGTATAGATAAATCTAGTCTGCATCAGCAACATTCACTATACCTCTCCATATTGTTCTATCCTTGGAAAGCATTCTAGTGTCTTCAGCCATGTCCATCTGCTGCTTTACATTTTGCCTTTTGTTTTCACACTTTTCACCTCTCCATTTTTGAGGATCTCATCAACTCCGTTCAGTCATGGCTTTCTCAGTCTTCTCTTTCTTCCCACCCATTCACTATTCTTTCATTTATTTGTTTTGCAGTCCAATCCTCATTCATTCCCTCTACGTAACCAAACCACCTCAGTGTACTTTTTAAATACTGATTATTCACTTTTCCATTCAATCCACATTTGTTCAGGCTCAGCCCATCTACTTCTAGTCTTGTTTCTTTCACTTCTTTTCTCCCATGTTCATTTTTTCCCAAGATCCACTCTTGATATTACCAAGAGTCTGCCCCACCTTCAGAACCTCTTGTTATTCTTGTTTCTTTCACTAATTTTCTCACTATTTTTTTCTGAGATCTTCTTCTAAGCAGATGGTCACCAAGCAGTCACCATTCTCATTCATTCTTGGGTCTTTAAATGCCCCAGTCACTTTTTCTGTAACTCTCTTGTTGCATTCTCACCCACCCATTCATATCATCTGGAATTCAGAATAATTTTTTCCCTGGGTGCAGTTATCACCAACCTATAGATTCCTATTGTCAGATGCACCTACAATAGCCCAGATGACACCAGTGCATACTTGATTACATAAGCTTTAGCTCTTGCATGCATCATTGAACTTACATCTTCGGAGTCCTTGGTGCTCTTTGAGCTGGGTTGTTTGCTTGCAGACACTTCATTACCCAACTAGGTAACATCATCAGCACTAGTGACTGTGGGATTTGCTCCCTGTTTATATACAGTAGCTTGCCTACCAGTGTTGGTGGGGGTGTGGTTTTCTCCTTGGTAGTTCCATGATTAGGGTATTGTTCTGTGCTTGATTGTTTGTCTGCTTGATTGTTCGTCTCCTTGGTGGTTCCTTGATTAGGGTATTGTTTTCTGGTTGATTGTTTGCCTGGTGTTAATTCCTGCTTATCTGGGTATTGGCTGCTGGCAAGGTTGTGTTTTGGTCTTTTTGTTTCCCTTAGCTTTTTTTTATTGTCTTTTGAATGGTGTATAAATGTGGTTTATCTCTATGTATCTATGGATGGTTGATTTGTCGAATGCCCCTCCAACACTGGTAGGCAAGCTACTGTATATAAACAGGGAGCATACCCCACACTCACTAGCACTGATAATGTTACCTAGTTGGGTAATGAAATGTCTGCAAGCAAACCACCAAGCTCAGAGAGCATCACAGTTGAACCACTCCACAGTTCAACCCTGAGCTACAGATATTCTCTTCTGTTGCAACATACATCTTCATTTCCCTTCATGTGTCCATCAATTCACTTCCACACAATCAGACCACCTTGATTCAGCTCTATTAGATCCTTCTCCTTTCTTTTAGTTTCACAAACACAGCATAGCCACTTTTCTTTCTTCCATTGCATTCATTCATTCGAGCTCTTTACCTTTTATTTCTCTTATGTTCCAAATCTCAGTTTTCCATAAGCCATAGTCATCAATATATGGGCCCATCCTGGCCTTGGTCAATCAAATCTAATGCTTTTTAGTCAGATAAAGAGTAGACTAAGTTTTCAGTTGCAGCACTCCCTGCTAACCATAAAGACAGTAGCAGCATTCATCAAGCACAATGAAAACCCAGTTTCATCCCTTCCCAAGTATGCTCGTACTATTTTATGTAAGCTAGCATTTCTAATCTACAGACCAGTTTTTCTCAACCTCAGCAAGTTTAAGACGT